CCTCCTTCTCAAAATGACATCGGACTAGGTTTTCACCTCATTAAAAATTCTTAGAAATTTGGGAAAAAAAATGCTATTGATTGTAATCAATTTCACATCGTTTGTGATCCCTAAACTTGACAAATTCAGATGAACATTGAGGATATTGTGCCAGAATTATTTGGCGAAAAGCGTGTTTATTACTGTCAACGATGCCTCAATCATGGACTGCGAGAGAAAAGGAAAAATCATAAGCAAAATTGCGCCTTCAGCACCTGTCAATGTCCAGATTGTATAGTAAGTGATAAAATATAGAGATTTTATTTGAAAAATGCATCGCTTGAGGTTTTAATGCATTCTTTTTCTACCGAATATCCTTTAGATACACTGATTTCTGCGGAGTGTTCGTATCTTTAACACTTTTCGATTCTATCTGGACAAACCTCTTTTTTCCCTAGACTATAGCAACCTAAAGCGCAAGATAATTTCTAACTCCTTTTTTTTTATAGATTTTCGCAAACCTTCCTATTACCACATAAATTCTGAGTATGGGAATGAAATATTTTCTTATATAGCCTTTATAAATAGGTAGAAAAATATTTCTGCAGCTCATGCAGCCCTTAGAATATGCTAAGATTAGCAGTACGGTTCGTGATTTCTACTCACTAATAAAAACTCGTAACTCAAGTTTAAGAATAAGTCTCAAGCCGGTGTATTCGGGGAACTCTTTCAAAAATAGACGAAATGCCATTACAATAATTTTGTTGCACTGCCATGTTCGTTATGCAAACAGGCAAAGTCATCATCGTTAGCGACGCTCATAAAGCTTGTATATTGTAGGAAATTTCCCGCTAACAGAAAATTGCTTTCAAGTAGACTTTACTTGCTGCTGGAGACATTTCTAGTAAAAAGGGACGAAATTAGTTTTTTTCGTCTTTTCTTTCTCTGAAAGATATGTCGCCGTTTCAGAAAAATTATCTTCGTGACAACATGAGTAACACAACAAACTAACCTATACGATTTCCTTAACAATTTTCGTTAAAGCAACTATTCAGATGGTAGAGCGAAGGCGTGAGTTAAACAGTCGTCTTGTGCAGATTGAAGGGGAGCCGGGAAATCAAAATTCAGTTGAATCGACATGCAGCGTTGAGGAGAATGGAGGAAAAGCGAAAGGCAAGTTAGCATTGGAAGTTATATTTATTTTCAGATTCAAAAAGACGTATATCATGATTTTTGATAAAAGCTGAAAATAGGATTTAAAAGGCAGATGGGACGTATCAGTAAAATCCAATTTTTCACTTTCAGCTTTTTTATTTAAGCTAGGTTTTGGAGTTAACAACTGTCTAGTACGAACAGTTTTGTAAGGAGAAGCTGAATTACATGCTTCATCCCCTAAATATTCATCTACTTTCGGCTATTTTCAAACAAAATATGCAAATGTATGAACAAAGTTACTCAAGCTAGCAAATATCTGATTTTGGGTGATTAATGGATAAAATCCTATCGAATTCTTGTTTTCTACCGCAACAATGATGAATCCTTCTTTTCTTAGTAATGTAGCTATCCTAACTCTCAACTATATTGACTTTTTTGGCGATTAAAATTTTCCAGAATTATAGAAACTACAAACTGAATAAAACTTCGACCAACCAATCTGCGACAATTCGAACGTTGCTAGTGCTGTCAGTTGTTTATCGTGACA